CATTTCTTAAAGTCCATGCGCTCGATGGAGCGCGCGTTCGTTACAAAAAAAAAAAATGCTTGTTTACGTTATCATCATTACTGGCTTCTTTTCGAACCCCTTACGAGGCAGCTGACCATACAAAACACCCGCCGCAAATCGACGCTTTGAAACCACCAATGCTAGTTGAAAAACGACTACTCCTCTCGTGAGGCAACGCTTCAAGCTCAGTGTGGCTTTAAATCAATCAATCAGATATTGTTTTATAACGCAGCTCTTAGGCGCCCGTTCCTGGCTTGAGCGGCGTCGGCGTCGACGTCACCGGCGGCGTAACCGCGCGGTGTATTATGGAACGCGTGACGTCACTGATGACGTCATCAGTGACGTCATCAGTGACGTCATCGGCATCGTCCTCGTCACTGATGACGTCATAAGTGATGTCACTGATGACATCATTGACATCCGCATCATCATCGTCTCTGATAACGTCATCAGTGACATCACTGATGACGTCATTAGTGACGTCACTGATGGCGTCATCGGCATCCGCATCGTCATCGCCGTCGTCCATGATGACGTTATCAGTGACGTCACTGATGTCGTCATCGGCATCCGCATCGTCATCGCCATTACCATCGTCACTGATGACGTTATCGCCATGTGACTTCATAGGGGTCACGTGACCCCCGTGAGGTCACGTGACCCTCGTGAAACGATGGCGACGCCGCTTGGAGGGAGTAGCAGACAGGATGAGGAGGTGAGGAGGAGGGAGGAAGGATATACCTTCCCCTCAGTACCCTTCCCCTCCTCCTCAGGAGCTGTGCTCTGAACCAGCGTTACAGGGAGTAGTAAACGGCTTTCATTTTTAGTAGGGATGCCGCGAACCTCCCTAGGTTCGAATTCGAAAGGTTTCGGTATTTCCGAACCGAAGTGATTTTCGAATACGAAAGGTCTCGATATTTTCGACCGTACGGAAATTCTAATTCGAAAAATTCGAAACTTTTAAAAATCGTGGAGTTTCGAATTCGAAAAGGTCGAAGCTTTCATGGTTTCTAAAAGTTTGGGTTTGATTATTTCGAATATTTCTTTTTTTACTTAAGGTTCGAGAAATTCGAAAATTTCGATCTTTCCTAACTTGAAATCGAGAGATTCGAATGCTTCGATTTTTTTTGGATCTGAAATTGGAAAAATCGAACGTTTCGAATTTTTATAAACAATAAGTTCGAAAAAACGAAGATTTCGAATTTCTTTCTACATAAATTTCGAAAAGTTGAAGGTTTCGATACTCTTTCGAGCTACATTCGAAAAAAATAACTTCTAAGTTTTCAAATTTCTTTAGAATCCAAGTGCGCAAAGTTCGAAGTCCGGTTTCCATGTTCCGCCACAGTTTGTTTCAAATAACATTTTCATGCCTCACTGGTTTTCACGAAAACAGGTTCAGAAAAGTTCGGGTGTGATATTTAGACTGCGCGACGTTGGTCAGACAATTAACGGAGACGACGAGTGTCCCGGATGTGCTGGAATATTTGCCAGTGCAAAGTGACGTGTGTCCATAGATTAGTAATTATGACTGCCAGCCCGGGGGGGGGGGTCATTAAAGGGACCATAAAACGATTCTGAATTCAAATTTCATCTAGCGCGGGTCGTAAAAGCTGTGGAAAGAAACACAAAAACGCAAAAATAGGGAGACGAAAAAAATTCTTCGCTATAGAAATTTTAAAAGAAAACCGGACTCTTTGCGCCTTCTTTCCTTCGAAAGCTCTCTGCCTTTTCACAGCGATGCATCTGCGGAACCGCAGAACGTCAGCCGAATTTACGTCGGCTATTGGATAAGAGCCTACCTCACAGCACCGCGATCATGAACAATAAATAGCCGGCGAATGATTCCTAAAAGTTTTGTTAAATTATATTCAGATCCACGTTTTGTAGCATAAATCGAGATGTGGCGAAAATCGCCAAATTTGATAATGCTGAGAGCCAAGCGCCAACTACAGTAGGGCCGAACGTTCCGTTCGGCCCTACTGTAGTTGCTTCGTTTACCACATGATAGATGGCGCTTGACATTTTACGAGATTTGTGACTTCAGCATCGATCTGAACTTTTTTTTATATCGGAACCGCAGAAGATCGCACGGGCCTGAAAGACGATGCCGGTTTTGAGCCATCACATTCTCACAAAGTGAGGCACCTAAGCTTCTGTTGCGCACTAGAAGATCACTCGCTCCAACACCGGACATTTTATCGAACGTTGTTTGATTTAATGCGTCATAGGTTTCTGCAATAAAATTTAAAATTTTTTTATTGTCCTCTCGTCGGACAGACGCCTAAATGGCACGACGGAGGACACACCTGCATGGGGTGCACCCATGCGGATGGATTCGGGTTCCACCACGTCCCCCTCCACTAGTCCCAAATTTTTCGGTTTCTTTTGTTAGCAGCGTTTTTTGGCCGGCTATCAGGATTTTTTGTTTAAAAAAACTGGCCAATTGTTGCAAGTGAACGTTTCGGTACGGGATGAACACTTTTTCGATGAAACGGCGTTCGATGAAATGTCCTGGAACCTACGCGTTTGCCACTTTTGTTTCCTTCGGGGTTATTTTCCCGACAATTCCTTTTCTCGACGACAAATCAGGCACAGCTTGGTACCCCCCCCACCCCCTTTTTTTTTCTCCGTAAGTAGAAACCGAAAAAACACAAAGAAGGCCCAGACTCCTCTATACACTCCGTGCGGGAACTATAGGGGGCGCGGTGGGGCTGCACGGCAGCGCCACTGGCGGCGGAGCTGGTGTTGCTTCGCGAGACTCGTCCGGCCGCTTGCAGCCGCCCTTTGCACCAGGACGCTATGGCGGCGCAGACGTCCGCAGTCGGAGGCTTGGTACTTCGAGCCGGTTTTAAAGACGTCTTAGTTTCATGTTTCGCGATGCCACTACGAAAAAGGGTGAAGACCTCTACGAGAGTGGCCACGTCTTCGACGTTAACGAGAGATTATCGACGGCGTCGTCGGTCCTGAGGGCAAGGTGTGTGCGACAGGCGAGCGTCTGTCAAGAAGCTTACTCCATAACGATCAAAGTAAGTGCGCGTTCTTTCATGCTCACAGAATTATTTATTCGTATTTACTAGTATTGTCTCCTTCAGAATCTCAGAGCTATTCGTGATTATCGAATGCCTAGATGAAATCTTGGGAATGATGTTTATCCTTTCGGGTCACGGCAATTCGCACGGAGTCTTTTTCGCGAAATGTTTCACTTCAATTTGTTGCGGTGTGTAACAATCTCTTTCTTTGTTTATCTTGCCTTCATTTAACTGCCTTCTAGTTTCTTCGCCGATTTCTGTGCACGCCAGCTCTTCCTCGTCGTAGCTGACTCGATCGTATCGAGCGCCGAGAGATATGGGTAAACAAATCTCGTGAGTGGGTGCTACGATCACAAAAGCCTCAAGACCCGTTGCTATTTGATCAGAAAACTTCTGCAGCACCTGTAGGGCCTCGGCAACTCCGATCGATTGCTAGACTCGAGTCCACTGCGAAATGTGACCTCTCCTTTATTATCAAAGCGGGATCATTTCGCTGATGCCTAAAGTCGGACCGCACGTCCGATCAGAATTGCAAAGACAATTTCCTCACACTTCCTATTTTCGCGAGGGAGGCGAACATTAACGAAATAAATGTATCAGCATTTGCTGCACGGTTGTCTCACTCATCCCATTCCAACCCTTGGTCGACCTAACAAAAACAAATTCCTGCACTTTCTGCCCTGCTGTTGTATATTTTTGAGCATGATCTTTTAGTTCCGAGAAAAAGACCAGGCGCACAGGAGAACGTGTAGTGCTGATGATATTCATAATGACAATGTTGCATGAACTTGACTGGACATTAAGGAGTCTTACATCCACGTTTTCTTTTTGTCATCAGCTGGACAACACCAGGAGGATAACAGAGGCGCACTGCACCTGTAGAGGTGGCACATGCGGCCAGTGCAAGCACACGACAGCAGTGGTGGCATATGTGAACAGGGAGGACACTTCCACAAAGACGTCCACAACAAATGTGTGGAAGAGGCCATCGGCAAAGCAGCTTGGAATGTACAACAAGGGTGTGCTATTCTCGGAAATGTTTGCATCGAAGCTACCGGATGGCAGGCTGCAGGGACAACCGGTGCCAGCGTCTATTGTAAACTCCAACTGCCCGTTAGGCATTATGCTTCGTCAAGAGGAGCAAGTGAAGGAGAACCTCAAAAGTCTCAACAAGCTTCTACCTCGTGTCGGACAACCGCGGGTAATATTTGGCGCAGATGACATTTTGAGTGAGGAGCTATGTGACGACATTCTTCTCGCTGTCATGGTCAGCGAGGATGAGTGCAAAGAGATTGCACAAGAGACAATACTTCAAAGTGCATGCCCACAATGGCACCGCTTGCGGGCACCAAGAATCTCTGCAAGCTCCAAGGCTCACAGAGTGAAAATACGTACAGCTGACTTCGATACCCTGGCCGAAGACCTTGCCTCACCACGGTCATTCAAGAGTGCCTCATGTTCTTACGGTGTAGCGAAAGAACCGGAAGCCAGGAAAGAATACGAGTCCTCGGAAAAGAAAAAGGTGATACAAGTAGGACTTGTTGTGTGCGTCCCACAGCCGTGGTTGTGTTGCAGCCCCGACGGACTGGTGGAAGAGAATGGGGAAGTCCGCCTCCTAGAGATCAAGTGTCCGTCTAGGTGCGAGACCAAGCCCGTAGTTAACGAGAACATTAACGTTGACTACCTGCAATACGAGGGGAAAAAGCTGAAGCTGCAGGAAAGCCATGTGTACTACACACAAGTTCAAGTCAGCATGTATGTTGTTGGTGCGAATGTGTGCGACCTCTACGTCTACTCACCCAAGGGGTCCGAGTGTGTCAAAGTAATGAAGGACATGCCGTTCTTGAAGAAAGTTGTGCCAAAGCTGGAATGGTTTTTTTTAGGCACTATTTTCCAGCTGTTCTGAAGCGGCAAAGCCTCTAAATCACCTAGCGTAGTGCTGATATGTGAAAAATTGTTCTGTATGGAATACGAAGTGCAAATGTCCAGTTGAAATATCACAAATAAAACGTGTGTGACCATTTATTTCTGATTCATAGTGGCAACGTGGGCAAGTTGGTTCACGCTTACGATAAAATACACGGCGTGCAAAACGACGAAGACTGATTGTACAAAATGACAAAGACTGATGAAAAAGGAACAAACACGACAAATGCTAATTTTCGTCCTCTCATCCTGTCTGCTTTCTTTTCGTCGGTCTTTGTCTTTTTGCGCACTGTGTACTTTATCGGAAGCACAGATTTCTGTTCGAAACTCTCACAGAGTCTTAATGACGGGACCTTGCAGGTTCGCGAGCATGCTACATACATGTAGAATTTTGTCTATGTGGCATTTGAGTTCTGGCGTCAACCTTTGGCTCAAGATTGCGAAACTCTTAATCCGCTGGATACATCTCTCAACATGAATTCGATGAGATGCAACCTTGTATGTCTCCTTCATCTCTGCCTCCGTGAACTGTTCATTAGCTCTTGCAAATGGTGGCATAACGAGAGTCACATCTTTACTCTCCAAGTCGCACTTCACGTGAGGAAACCCTTTGTCGGCCATAACCATATCACCTGGTTCTAGCAGGTTAACCAGCCGAGAGTTTGCTATGATGTAAGTGTCACTTGCCCTTCCGCCATAAACATCTGAAATAAATGTAATGTACCCAGATGGCGTGATGCCAACAAGAAATTTGAGCGTGAAGTCACTTTTGTAATTACTCCAGCAGTTCACTCTGTCAGAGACTTTGCTCGGTTTCTCAATCCGGACTTCACTGCAGTCGACGATAACCCTACAATTGGGATACTTCGACCGGAACGATGCAGGCATTGATGCATGAACAACATCTCTAGAAAACCACTGGATCCATCCCTGCGTACTAACATAGAGCACATCTAGAATCGTGTAGAAGATGCGCGATGCACTGGTTCGGTGGATACCAAACAATACACCCAAGGCAGAGAAGGTCAGTCCATGCTTCATCTTGACCAGGAAAAGCAGGAGCTTGCTCTCCATACCCAGATCCAAGTATCGCTCCCCACGTACCTGGAACGAAAATACTTTTTATGTAAACAGAATAAAGTTTTCTTTGACCAGACATTTTTGCTCGAAGTGCGGTGAAATCTTAACCGAAGTCCCTTGTAGCTGCCAAGAGTATCTAGCAAACTCTAATGGCTGAATGCCCACTAGCTCTTGGCTTCACTACTACACGAAGCTTGCGTCACTCTGTGGTGATAAGAATAATTGCCAGCAAATTGTCATCTTTTACGACAGTAAAACTGTTGTCTGCGAATTCTGTCTCTGATCGACTGAATCCTACTGCTCTTTTTTCCAACCCCCAACCGATCCGACCAGCTCGCCAGTCTCATCTCGACTGTCTGAGAACCATGCTGAAAAGTGACGTATGGCAGAAGTACAAATGGCAAATGTAATGAGACACCGAGACCGGATGTACACGCAGACTGTGGTTGTGATGAGTGAGAGGTAATGTTCTGCGACTACTTTAATCCCCACGGACAGGCTCGACGATCATTAACTACAGCAATGGTGCAAATCTGCTGAACTTGTGGGACAGCGTCCTTCTCGTCGACTCATTATGTTTAGGCTCGAGCATTTACCATGTCGCGAATGCGGACAGAATTAGAGAGGCTTTGGCACGGGCAGTATTTGTTGAGATGTGACTTGCATTTCTGAAGTGTTGCGCATGATCTTTCGTAGCTTTGCTGTGAATTAACGTGTTTTCATTCCTAGACTGATGGCGCAGAAGCTGAGCACAGCCGCTGTGGAGTCACTAATTTAGACAATTCCGCTTGCCGTGACATGACTTAGCATTGTAAACAAAGCGCATGCGTCCAATTATCTATTGTTTTAGGCCCCACAGCCACATCCATTTGGTCACAGGGTTTGCTTGTAATACGACAAGCATCGTCCTGTTACTAGGTGACGCGTGTCTGCAACAGACCACCGCAAGCATACATTCTGCACCTAAACGTAATGAAATACCAGTGTGCGCTAGCCTTCGGAGCTAGGCAATTTCTGTCCACCGTAATTGGACAGAGACTCTCAGCTGAATGCCAAAACGCGCACTGGAGGTACACTGCCTAGCACTTCCCGCACCGGTGCAGGTGAATTGAGAGCACCTGCCAAAATCTCAAAATTTGTATGGTAGCTGCATCACCCGATCCCGTTTGCTCGAAGTGCAGATATCTTTAACCGTGTTTAGAAGTTATCCGAAGTACCTGGTAGAGGGATTTCAAGACCGCGTGACTGGCCGTACAGGTACGCGGGAGGGGGGCAATTTTCTGCATCCCTACACGACCGGTCACAATCTTAAAATGTCCTACTTTCGTTTACTTGTAACCATGGTTAAAGATATTCATGCTCCGAGCAAATAGAACCAAGTGGTGCAGCTACTTCAGAAGTTCTAACATTTTTTCTCGTAATGAGGATAGCTTTGTGGTAAATTTAAGACATACAGTCGGCATGAAAATGAGCTGGCTCATTGGAACGCTCGCCGGAGCAGCGAAAATTTCTTTGGGGCGCTTCTGTCTCGATAAGCCATTAAGAGAAAGGCTGGAAGAAATGCTGCGACCTCGTGCACTGGGGAAGATGGCAATAAAGTAAGCGGCGCATAGGATGCACTTGGATCTGCTCGTTGCACACCGGCTACATTCTACACCTAACGTCATAAAATGCATGTGCTAGCCTTCGGAGCTCGGAGATTTCCGTCCATGGTGATTGGACGCAGACTCTAAGCTGGGTACGGTGTGCCCAGTCAGGTATTAATTTTACGTGAGCCCGAACAGAGTGACAATGCAGTGCTCGGGCCTAATCCATGTATTGCATTCAGCTAACACATTGAAAGGTTGATCCTCTTGTCTGTCAAATGTGACCCGCATGACCTTGCCACCAAGCTTTTTGAAGGCAAGAAAGAATGAAGTACCCTGCATTTACTCTTGAAACTAGGCAGATAGGAAAACTCTAGACTTAGTAGCATTACGTGGGACATACTTGCTTCAGGCTTGTGTTAACATGCACATAAACTTCAAACCCTAAATTGCTGTGTCACCCCTTTGAGTGAGTTTCTATTTACCTTTGACAACAAATTCAACAATGCCAGGAACACCATGGCAGTCACACCGGTAAGGTCCCTCAGAGCATCATCCTTTTCACTGTGGTTCACCAAAGAATGGTAACCATAAAAACCTTTCGGTTGGTGATCCTGGAGGCACACCGCAGCGATACTTGCATCAGCAGTCGTCGGTCGTTTGTGCGCTAAGTATGCAACCTGGGTGGATGCCTCGCAGACACCAGTCCAGAAGACGCAGGATATCATCAGCACACCCTGATCCTGGGGCTCTGATGTCCATGATGTTTGAGTTGATACCTGAAGTTGAAGCAATGACATGTTACAATATTTACAATTAAAGCAAAACTCAAATGTTTAGTCTCATGTTAGCAGAGGAGAACCTACCTCCACACCTTCCTGATGACGAGCTTCACTATGTTGTCCAGTGACTTCAGGTTCTCCAAACTCTGGTGCGAATGCTGGAGATGCTGGCAGATCCACAGGAGCCTCGGTCACCACTGTTGGTGGCGCAGCTTGCAGCAAGTCTGGCAGCGACGTTGAGGTCTGGGGCAGAGCTGCAGTAGCTGTCCTCCGTTTCTTGTATCTAAGAAAAAGAAATCACACCTTCACTTCTCTCATTAATCACAGTGAGGCTGCATACCAACAAATAAGCTCCTGGCTTCTAAATAGAGCAAACACTGCAATTGTTCTCGCATTCCCACCCAACTGTGCAGCAGTTGCGTTTGACATTGTCTTTCCGCGACCTACGAGAAACCAGCGTCATAAAACTGCTTCCCCGAAACCGTCGAAAAGAAAACAAAATTGCCGCGTCTGTAAGGATGCTAATTAAAAGCAGCCGACAGACCGGAACAAGTAGGTTCAAATACGGCAATTTGACAATGTTCTCACCTTTCGTAGCGTCCGGATTTATCCTCAGGGAGCACCGAACGCTTGCGGTACTCTTCGGGGAATATCGTCGGCGCATACGACGGGGACGAAACATCCTTCGAGGACGCACCTCCGACGAAATGAACGCTGCATATCCGTGAGTGCCGGGTCGGCTCCCAGTCCGTTCCGTCGGCACTGAAATACGCAAACGTTAGTGGCAGAAGAAAAACCAAAACACAACGCGAGACGGAGAAGATAAGTTCGCCATTACGATCCATTGGAAGACAAGATCCGGAGCGGAACTTACTTCTTCCGCCGCACGGCTCTGATCCACTCTTGCCGCTGCCCGACGAAGCACGGACGAGTTGAAAAACTGTACATTGTCGTCCCCGCGGGGCACGACGTGTACCTATTAGTACAACCGACGACGCAGCAATTCATAATCGCAATAAACAGCGCGTTTGCGGCGCAGTTTGGGCGTCGCGGCGGCAGTTGTGCAAGCCTCTGAAAGCGGTGGTGCCGCGCTGTTTCCTTCTGCTCGGGCAGCTCGGTTCTCGCGGCCTGTCCTCTCTGACGGCCGCGCGGCGGCGCGCCGGTCGCCGCGCACGGAGTGTATATGCCATATAACCACACCCTCTAGCCCCAAGCCAGTGGACCCCATCTTATTGGCGGCGAGATGTTTTGGTGGCGCCCTCCTATAGCGAGTCATCACTGGCGGCCATATCCGTCTGCGCTGCTGCTGAGCGCGTGCTGACGGCGATCTTCCGCAGTCTTTTTGGAGCGTGCATTTAGCACCATCAAGGTTGCCGGTCTTAGCAGGCTATTAATGTGGGCTCGTTCTGAACATGCGCTGTAAACATCACCCTCAAATATGGCGTCCAGTGAATACCTCCCATGGTTATCTTTCGTGACGTCAATACCTAGCGAACAACAAGTTTGAAGGTTTGTAAAGAGCATGGTGGAAGCTTTAAATCATAGCACTCTTAAACCAACACTGCCAACACCGTCAAAATTGAAGTTCTTCCATTCTTCTTATTTTCATCGATGAAAAATCCTTTGCTGACGTCATAGTCAGCATTCGGCCTGTCGTGGAAGATACGCTTGGTAGAAGAGCGTGTTGGTTTAAGTCATGGATGAAGAAAGAATAAACAATTAAAACAGGGGCAACACAACCACATCTTTCAACTAGCAACAGACGAGTAAACTTTCAACAGCGAGCAGCCGACTATACCCAGTAGGAGTGGGGGAGAGAAGGGGAGAGAAGGAAAGATAAAACACGCGAAGTGCAAGTCAGGGTGGTAGGGTTATCTCAGATTTTAAAAATTCAACCTCAGTTTTCGTCAGCAGGAGGGAAGGGTTTGACACGTTATTTTTTGCTGTGGTCATGGCGAATGATTCTATGATTTCCCTGCCGAATCTGCTGTCATGCCCCCCAAGGATTTTTGTGTCATCAAAGAGGGGATGACAACGCAAACACGAACGGGCATGTATGACTATGGGATGATAAGAATCTGGAGAGGCCTTAGAAACTTCGTTGTGATGTTCGCGGAGTCTGTGATTGGTGCATCTGCCGGTCTGTCCTATGTATTGATGGCCACAGCTCAAGGGGATGGAGTAAACTTTCTTCTCTTTGCATGGAATGAATTTCTTTTCGTGTTTGACAGTGCAGCCAATCGGAATCCGGTTGTTGTTGTTCACTTGTTGACAGAGTTGTTTAAGACGCATGCGGCACGAGAAGACAACATTCGTGTCGAACTTTGAGGCAATGGATTTTATCCGGTGGGCTGAATTGTGTACGTAAGGAATGACGGCGAATCGGGCTTTCTTTTTTGTGGCTGGTGACTGGCGATCAGGCCCGCGAATCATCCTTTCCATTACAGATCGGAGAAGGTCGACCACAGCAAAAAATAACGTGTGAAACCCTTCCCTCCTGCTGACGAAAACTGACGTTGAATTTTTAAAATCTGAGATAACCCTACCACCCTGACTTGCACTTCGCGTGTTTTATCTTTCCTTCTCTCCCCTTTTCTCCCCCACTCCTACTGGGTATAGTCGGCTGCTCGCTGTTGAAAGTTTACTCGTCTGTTGCTAGTTGAAAGATGTGGTTGTGTTGTCCCTGTTTTAATTGTTTATTCTTTCTTCATCCATGGCGTGGAAGATAAAGCCCCTCCATCCTAAAAAAAGTGGCGCCATTCATTGTTGTAGAAATGCTCGAGGCACGTGCCACGCGCCCCTTCTAGGAAATTCATGGCGTCTGAAATCTAGCTCAGTGCTGGGCTGTGCCGTCATGATCTTCCCAAGGGCTACACGTTGCACGCGCCTCGTGCATCGACGAACAATGCGCTACTTTTAAAACATAAAAGGGCTTTAGTGGAAGACCGATCACAGCGGCGCTTTCGATCGCTCACGTCGCCAATAGACCGATCTCACCAAGTGTTCGGCACATGCGTGAAGCCGACATAACTTTAGTTCACAAGAAGCAGGCGGCAGTGTACGAGACGGCTCGTTCCGCCTCGTTCTTTTCACGCGCAGAGTTCCAGCAAGGTTCGGGCACGTGCTGAAATACTAAAGTTATCTCGATGCATTGCGGCAGCGGTGGCGTAGTTAAACTGGCTGGTGAGATGGGTCTGTTCTCTCATAGACCCGTTGCTCTGGGGCAGGGGGCGCGAGCGCATCCGCAAGACGCGACTATGTTATGATGGCTGAACCATCCAGGTGGCTCTATAACGTTCGATTTTGCACGTGCCACGTTCTAATGCAAGCATCTGAAGATGCGCGATAACAAAACCTCTGAACAAATAAAAATTAAGAAAGAATTATGCAGCTCGCGGTCGCAGCGTCCCATTAAACATTCCTTTCATCTTTGCGATTTTTCATAGCTTCCGCGAGCACGTATGTTCTACTTTACATGATAGCGAAGCCGAAGCTACTCGCAACAGCACGTCCTTCTAAAAGATGCTCGCACTGCAGGAGCGCGCGTGCTTGACAAGAACGCTGAAAGCTCGCAGGTCGATCCTGTAGCCTCTGCTACGCTGGCACTTATGGCGAATTCCACTGGTCGTTTTGGAGCACGCCGGGATCGACTTTTCTGGAGCGACCTTATTTCTCATGGGCGATCGGGATCGAGACCGACGTGTTTCACTGGTCATTTTGGATTAGCTCCCGCTCCAGATCTCGATCTGGATCCGAGAAAAGTCACTCCCACGATTTCGGCGGATTCGACCGGAAGCCAGCCGGGTCAGCCCTCCGCGCACACACGTGACTTCCTTTCTCGTGGATCATCTCGCCTGATCTCGCCTGATCTCGCCTATCTCGCCTCAGAAGAATAAGCAGCACGTCGCGGGCTGGGCTCCTAGATTGTCTCGACATCAGAAAATTTGTAATGGCCGCTTGCTTACCCCTTGGCTCGACAGCCGGCTCGTTTTCCAGGAAGGAGAAGAGAAGGTATTCGCCACGCGACGGGCATTATGGCAATCTTTGCTAGAAGCACCTGAGCCATTCCTGCCGCTCGTGCGTCGAACATGTGTTAGCGCCGCAATTGCGAGAACGTCTTCGAAACGACCGCTGCGGCCGCGGAAAGGGGATTCCCGGGCAGTTGAATGACGGGAAGGCATCCATCGATCTCGGAGCAGTGGTCATGTTCCTATGGGGATCCGTGGGCGGCGCGACCCCGTTCGGATCGTGTGCTCCAGTGCGGATCTGGTCAACTGATCCCGGCACGCTCCATTGCCATTAGAATGGAACGAAGTAGAAAAAAACTCTAGTGGGGAAGCGTATTGACGTAGGTTCGGAACCCGAGCCAAATATTCTATTTTGCTCGCCTGGAGCGCTGCTCAAAACTTGAGAGCTACGGGTCTATCCCCAGTGCAAAGAGGGGGCATAAAATGTTCGTCGTCTTGTCAACCTTTCTTTGTAACATCGCAGAGGTTTGTTGAAATTTCAACTCCGACTGAGAACGAAGTTGGAAGCCGTCCGCGCCAATATGGTGCCTCTATTAGCCGCGAGAACGAGCTTGCAATCAGTGTAATGATTGGTTGCTCTATCCTCGCCGTGGCGTCACAGGCAAAACAGCGGTTTTGTCCCCAGGAGATTAGGATCGCGCGAATAAAAAGAGAGGCCTTTTGGCACCGCAGGCACGATAATTCTTGTCTTGCAAGAATAAGGCAAAAATTACGATGGAATATATTATCAGCCAATACTAAATCGCTTCCGAAACGTCTCTAAAACGCTACTCAAAACTTTTTTTTTTCATTTTTTTTTTTCTGAAATAGATAAATCTAGAAACTGAAATAAGGTACTCTCTGCTGAAATAAGGACTCAGGGTTCGTACAGCTCCTTGAAATCCTTGAATATCCTTGATTTCCTTAAAAGTATTTTAAGGGCCCTTAAATATCCTTGAAAGTTAAAACGATCCTTGTATTCCTTGAAAATCCCCCAACAAATGCGTAAATGCCGTGTCGTCTGGCAACATGGCATGTCGTTTGTTCTAAATGATAAAGCCAATCCAAAGCGTCCCGTGTCATTGCCATTTTTGCTTTGGGCTGTGTTGAGGATCAAGTTGGGGAGCGTGAGACATTTTCAATCCAGATTGAAAGCCCAAATTCCGGTGCAAAGTGTAAGTTCCAACCTTCTTGGCTGGAACGCAAAGACTGGCGCCAGTGGGTGGGACCAGATACGAATGACTCCTTCCGAGCGAAGTGCGCGATCTGTCGAAACGCTACAAAAAACCGCAATGGCCTGCTCAATATTCCACTGTCGAAGGAGCTAAAGTCCTCTGTACGCCTAGCAAGGCAGAAGTATGCTGCCTACCTTGTAAGAGCACAAGAAGAAAGCAGCCAGCGAGCTGAAAAGTTTGAAGAGAAAAGCAGTTAAAATAGAGCTGGAGGGAATGCCTGAGAGGGGGGAATTGAAACTCCAGAAAACTCTGAGGTACCTGCTCGAGTCGTCGGAATGCATCTCCGAAGATGCTGAGGCGAAGAATGACTTCACACGTTTGGCCAAGGCCAATAGTTTTCGCCGAGCAGCAAAAGAAAAGAAAACGGCAATAGCTGCTGTAGAACGAGAAATTATTGTCAAAAAGGAGCTCATTTCTTAACTCCTGTCAACGAAGAAATATCTTCGAACATTCCTTGAATTTTGTCTTCTGATGCCCTTGAAATGCTTGAAACGTCCTTGAAATTTGTATCAAATATTCTGTACGAACCCTGCAAGGACTATACCCGTCGGTGAACCGATCTCATGTTTTTAAACTTGAATATGTCATAGTATGTGACGAAGACCACTGCGGAGGTGGCCGCAGTACATGGCTCACTGGTACGCAAACTTTCG